ATTGTGCGCTATACGTTTTACACGACAGTCGAAGGGCCTTTTCCTCGTTTGCTGCGTTGCAGGTTTGGAACTCCCTTCAAAGAAGGCGATTTCTGGTACTCCTGGCGGAACGCTGGGCTGCAGAATCAATCGATCCTGCACCGTCACACGGACAAGAAGGGGGAGAGCAGTGAAGTGTTCCTCGACCCCAACTCATGGACTGAAGACGGCACTGCGTCTGTGGGTACGTTTTCTGGGCATTCAATACAGCTGTATACATTTCTGCATGCAATGTGTTAGCGCCTATTACATTCAGAAGCAGAAGAATTCGTGTGTAAAGTTTAACTTCTTCTTTTCTCAGGGTCGTTCAAGTTTACAGCAGACGGGTCGCTGATGGCTTACGCCCGGGGTGACAAGGGAAGCGACTGGCGAACAATTTATATTGTGGATGTTGCAACTGGAAAAACACTAGAAGATCGATTGCATCACGCCAAGTAAACCCTAAACCCGAGACCCTAGACCGGCAGTTCAAGAGATGCAGCCCTGTGGAGCATCCTCTTGCGTCATTGCTGACGCTTTGCTTATGCAGGGTACAGAACGAAGGGCTGTAGTGTACTTTCTTTTGAATTAAATAGAGAGGATACTTATTAGATAGACAGTTTGCTTACTAAACATAGAGTACACCGATTTAAATAAAGAAACGGGTAGTGAACAAATAGAGGGGAGGATCGTGATTAAGTACAGGGTAGGATACTGACTGAAACGGGTACTGATGCGGGTGGTTCAACGGGTGCAGGTTTACGAGTTTGCAGTGGGTTGGCAACAAATATTTGTTTTACAATCGATATGATGTACCCGAAGGTGCAGATGCAAATGGCTTAGAGAATACACAAAATGAATTCCAGAAGGTACAATAAACAATACACATCAGACATCCGCACATCAGCAAGAAAGGCGGCCCTTCTAAGCATATGCAGATGCAAAACAGACTAAGTCATTTGTGCTTCTATTTACAATAAACATGTGGCTGACCTCGTTCATGATCATCATGAATATAGTACATAGTGGACACTTGCCTGAACGCGTTTATGTTTATCATATAAAATTCGATGAACTCTTTTGTCTGTGTTATGTATATAATATATAATAAATGCTTGGCCGACCGCGTTTATTTTCCCTATATGTATTATATGGTAAATTCTTGACATACTTCGTTTCCCTTTATTAGATGTATACAATATATTTGAAACACTACTAATAATGAAGAGTCCCTCAGTGTTGCATGTATTTTAATGCGCTGTTTCATATAGCCTTTCTCTGGGTTTGTTGCAGCTCTACTGTCACGAAGTTGGCACCCCCCAGACTCAGGACGTCTTGGTGCTTGAATTCCCAACTGAACCGACATGGATGGCCCATGCGACTGTGACAGATGATGAGAAGTTTGTCGTCGCCAGCATCTCTCGAAGCTGCGAGCCGGTAAGCAACGAGCCACAGAAGGCATGAAAGGAAACGCCTTTGCAGAGTAAAAACCCAACAGTAAACGCAGGAGCTTCTAGCAGGAGTAGTAAACATAGAGAAGGGTGTTGAGGCTTCAGTGGTTCAGGATCAGCAACCTACTTCTCAGAGCGTCGTATGAATGGTAGAACGAACGCTTGATGCCATTACACTGAACATTTGCCTACGTTTGTATTTCTCTTTCTCATGAAGCGTGAGATCCTTCTGCTGTTACGAGCATTTGCTTGCCTCTTTCTCATGAAGCGTGAAGCGCCTCTCCTGCTTTCTGCTGTCGCAGACAAACAAATTGTGGATAGCCGCGCTGCCTGCCGCCGGTGCGCCAATCTCGGCGTTTAAGGAGCTGCAATGGGTGAAGGTGGCTGACGACTTTGAGGCCGGCTTTGAATATGTAGCCAACGATGAAGGCGTTTTCCTCTTCACGACGAACCGGGACGCCCCCAAGAACAAAATAGTTAAAGTAGATATCGCAAAACCAGGTGCTGCACTTTAGAGGCTGTGTGATGCGGCAGCTGGAGGGTGGGAATAATAGCTTACTGTCGATGACATGAATTGTGCATATCGAACGGTTGATTGAGTTATGTTCTCTTCAGTCGAAGTCGTGGACTGAGGCTGTGGATCGGGTGCCGTTGCTTAACATTTGTAGCACCCAGGAGTGTTCATCGGGTGCCGTTGCTTAACATTTGTAGCACCCAGGAGTGTTGATTGCATGTGCTGTCTTTGCTTGCTGCATGACATTGCGTGCAGACGCCCCAATGGTGGATGTGGTGCCGGAGGCAGCAGCGGTACTTGAGGAGGTGGTGGTAATTGCACGAGATCAAATGGTTCTTCATTACACTGAAGATGTGAAATCACGGC